CTGGCCGAACTTTATAGTCAATCACAGCTACCCAGCCGAGCATCACGCACGGTATGTGCTCTTAAAATTGTGCTTAGTCTCCTTCTTTCTGAATCTGTTGGTACATAATGTTTCCTGTCACATTTGGGACATTAAACCAACAGCAGGATGGGAGTTGTGTTGTTGCATATTCTCAAATAATAACAGAATGGGGAGCCAGTTGCTCCAAAGTGCTTCTCGTGGTCCAAAACTCCACAAGTTACATTTAACATGATCTTAACTGGAGGTTGTTGGTGTATTCTTATGCTTAAAGGAAACAGGTATTTTCTCCAGGTTGCAATTGTTTGTTTGTGTCAACATATCTTTGCCTTGAATTGTTTCGCCCTCCTGCTGTTGCTCCCTGTTAAATGGGACGACACCCGTGGCTCAGGTAACCCAGAAAATAGCAAAACTTCTAATGTTGTGTAATGGTGATGTGAAGTTTTCCTAAAAATAATCAAACAAGTGAAAATGAAGCTCATGTCTGAGAATAACGTGGGGTCTTGTGTTCGACCTTTTATCGTTGACTTTGTGGCTCTTAAGTTAGAAATGTTTTCTTCTACGGCGTACGATTTCCTTTGTGGAAGAAAATAGGTTTCTTTCCAAACTGTAACAGAGAATGCAGTTTTGGTATATGGGCCAGTGGACCGGTCGATTGGTGGGTCAATATCTTAAATTCTCATTGGTGGGGCAATCTCCGGTGTTACTTTCATAAGGAGAAACAACTACATCAACAGCCATCCAAGAATAACCCATTATTTTTAGGCAGCTGGAGGAACAGACGACCTGTGAACACCCCCACGTTTTCATAACTCTGAACTTAGTTAACATTTACTGAATGAATGGAAAACGGAATAAATCCAGAGAAACAAAACAGACGGAGAGCGAGGAGGAAGATGAGAAGAGGAAGAGCTCAGTAATGAACAGAAGGTTCGTCTCCCGTGGGATCGATCACACCTACGAGGTTCAGCATCCTCTGTGGCTGGAGCTCCTCTGCAGGCTAACACCAACAGAAACGAGAAGCAAACCTCTGGAGGAACGTCTGTGGAGATGAAACGCCGGCCGCCACGGCAGGTTTCTCACTGCGGAGGCTGGAGTGTGCCGCCGGAGTGACTTTATTTCTATATTTGTTGGTTCAGGCTATAAAAAAACGGAGAATTTCCTGATGAAGCAAGCGCTTTGAGTTGTGAGGCTGCTGGTGAAGCAACAGATGCAGTTTCAACACATCGCTGAGGGTTCTTATAACACCTGGCAGCCATAAACCATTATGTCATCAGGAAAAAAAGAAAAAGCACGTGAACCATTTCAGATGTTTCTACTATGAGGAGCAACATTTCACAGATATGCATCTGGGGCTGTAGCGTCCAGCTGAGTGGTCAACTGGTTGTTTGATATTCTTTCATCCAACCAAAGTCTTAATTGTTTGGACAATTTGATAAAGAGAGAAGCGCTTCATCAACAGCCTTTCAGGATTAATCCATTATTTTTGGCAGCAGGAGAAGCAGACTGGCCCAGCTTCACAGAGACTGCTGGTTATAACTTATTTAATGTTTACTGACTCTGAGTTCTCTCGAAACCAACCGACATCATGTCAGACAGATGAAACGACAGCAAAGAGAAACAAAATTACTCAAAACTAATAACAGCAGCCCAAAAAAATGGTGACAAAGAGCCAAAAAAAGGAGAGAAAAACACCATAAAGACACCAAAATACCAGAAAGACATGCAAATTGACCACAGGGGGATCAAACCAGATAGAAAGAGATGTCAAATAAACACAAATAGGGACAAATAGGGACATTATGATGTGCAAAACGGCAGCAAAGAGACACCAAACAATCACGAAGAGACACAAACCAAGAAGTTGAGAAAATGCAAAATGAACACAAATAAATGCAAATGAAGACAAAACAACGATAAAGACAAAATTACTCAGAAACAAATACCAATAAATGCAGAACAGTGACCAAGATTCACAGAAACAAAACCGTTGGGTGTGTGAACTAACTGGCACCATGTCAAAGAATTCATTGGTGTGACTTGAGCCTAAACTTTGCAAACAGCAGCTTTCAGTCGAGCAACATTTCCTTTAGTTCACCACAGTACCAACAGGAAAGTGACTTTTGGGAGACAGGGTCGTCCTTCGAAGGGTTTCTGGGATGGACAAATTGAAAGGACCTCTCAGTTGGATAGATGGGCATCAGGAAACAGATGATGAGTTCCATTTCTACCATCCGTCCATGCAGAGCAGCAGCAGAGCCGATGTAAACAGTAACGGAGGCGCGCAGTCCTGCAGCGAGAACACAATCAAGTGCAAAGCCGTTTTGGATTAAATCCAATCATTTAGTCGATGCTTGGAAAAATATTGACTCGCTGACACATTTCCGTAGCATCAGACTGCTGTTTGCCAACAATCAGTTCACACATTTACACTCTGAGGAGACAAAGCATTGCAACACAACAGATAATGATCGCTACGAACTCTAACTATCTGTCTGAATGACTGATTGAAAACAATTACATCATCATTATCACCGCCATCATCTGTATCACTCGTAGCAGAAAGTCTCTCTCCCGCTTTCACTTTTATCTCTCACCCCTCATCTCCCGGTTTTGGTCTCGGCGGCGGCGGGGCGCGAGGCTCGTCCCGATCGGCTCCAGCCAATTTAAATTCCATTTGGGAATCTCATTTAAATTCATGTGGGACGCCTCATTGGCGGGGCGGCGATAAACATTTAGCGCGAGGAGGGTTAAACAAATCAACAACACGCTGCGGAGTGTCCGCGCGCACACATGAAAAGATCAAGCGGTTGCATGATAGGATTGAAAAGTGTTGGGCTGTGCGCTCGCCGTGTTGTTTCTCTGGCAAGTCAAATGCAAACATGCAAAACACACACACACACACACACACGTCGGCTAATGAAAAAAAGAAACAGTCGCTCTAATCTGCTTTGAAGATTTGGACTCGTTTCGTCATGCTCCCTCGCTCAGCCATTTTAAATATCTGTCTCTCTCTGCAACATGTGATCGTCTCTTGATCTCTCGCACTTTCATTCTCCGATATTACCGTCTGGCTTTCTTCTGTCTTTTTTTCACATAAATTAATCACAGTTGCTGCTCCTTGCTTTCTCTCAGCCGTCCACATTAAATCGGTAAATTCAGAAACCTGTGACTGATGGCAGATCAGAGGGTTAACAGACAAATAGTAGTAAACTGTTTAATGAATAAAAAAAGCAGGATTGGCTTTGATTCCTTATTTTTCAAAGGAGTTTTTGTTTCTTTTGTTATTAATACTGTCTTAATTTTTAAATTAGGATGAAAAAAGGTTTTTCAAAAATGTGGCTGGACTTATTGTATTCATTCACAAAGATGTGAGCGATGTACAAAAGACAGAAACCCGATAGATCACAAGTTCTATCAAAGAGACTAAGTCCCAAGTTTCTCAAAATCATGAACAACATTAATATTGTGGTGTCTGCTCGTACAGTGTCTATAAAGCTCCTTCAGACATGCAACATGGAACAATAAAAACACCCTGTTCAACACTTTGAATCATGGTCAGCTGAATTCGGCTGTTAAAGTGGAAACATTTCTTCAAAGTAATGCCAATTCATTAACAATATAAACCTGTTGTAAAGAAATGGAAAGAATATGGAACTTGGATAAATCTGCCTAGAGCGGGCCATCCCTAAAAAGTTGCCGTGCAAGAACAAGACTAGTAAGGGAGGCCACCAACACAGCTATGGCTTCTTTTGAAGAGGTCTCAATGTGAGCTTTGTGGTCATCAGACTGTATGCCATGTTTTGGACATCATCACTAACACACTGTCCCCACTGTGAAGCACGGCAGTGGCAGCATCATAATGTGTATCTCAGCAGGAGGCCCTGGAAGGCTTGTAAAGGTCGAGGGTAAAATAAATACAGCAGATCCTTTTGGACAACCTGGTCTGTAAGAGAACTGCCACTTGGGAGGAAGATTTGTTTTCTGGCAAGACGGTAACCTGAAGCATACAGCCAAAAATACATAGAGAAGATTTAAAGACAACAAGGGGAATGTTAGGGAGTGGCAGAGTCAGAGCCCAGACCTTAATCCAATTAAGGATTTGTGGCTGGACTTGAAAAGAACTGTTCACTCTTGATTTCTGTGCAACCTGACAGAGCTTAAGCAGGTTTGCAAAGAAGAATGGGGTAAAATTGCAGCGTCCAGATGTGCACGACTGATTAAGACCTCTTTAGACAGCCTCGATGCCAAAAAGGTGCAACAACTGAGTACTTGATGGGGGTGAATACTTGTTTATTTTACTATTTGTATTTTGAATTAATTTACATTACGCGAGACAAATCTGTTTTCACTGTGACACGAAAAAGTCACATTTTGTAAATTCTTGTCAAAAAAAAGCTAAATTAAATCAACCATGATTCCATGTTGAAATGCAATAAAGGGAGAAAACGTCCAAGGGGCCTGAATGCTTTTTACAGACACTGTCCAACATGTCTGGATACGCCTGTAAAGGGACTCAACATTTTCTGTTTTATGTGTGCAGAGAGCAGTGCCGGCTTTGTGCAGATGATGTGTAGTTTTATCTCCCGCATGTGTCTTATGTTGACAGCGTGGACCCCGGGAGTCTGTGCTTACAAATCTAATTTATCAGATAAAGAGCAAGATCTGCTCTTAAACTCCTCACTGCTGATAACGTTGCTGTGTCTGCCTTCTGCTGCGGTTAATAAATAAAATGACAACATGCTGCGGAGCTCATAAAGAGCGTTGTGAGTCATGCTTGTGTCAGCTTGTGCGTTTAGGGTCTGACTGTTTGTCTGAATGTTACGGTCTGCGGTGGTGATAAATTACCGCGTGGAACATGTGTGAATTCAGGACTAAATGTGACGCATGGCTCAGTGGTGGTGACTCCTCTTCCTCCTTCCCGTCCTGCAGGTGGCGGTACAGGCAGCCAGCAGACCATTCTCCATGAGGAGCAGTGGAAGATGCCGGCTCTGCCAGCACTGCTGCTGTCGATTTACGTCGTCGTCCTGCTGCTGACTATGGCGCCTCTCTCCTTCAGCCAGGCCAACACCCTCTCAGCCGTCCGAATGGGTGAGTACCAGCGATGGGACTTTAGTTTCCCCGTGTGCAGGACAGACGAACATCTACATCTACAACTTCCAGAGCTGCAGTTTGAACTCCAAGTTGAGTGTTGTGGAGGCACTTTACAGTCATTTAACCTTTTTATGCACACAACAAGCTTGTGATTTTCGTTTGAAATACATTCAGTCCAAGGAATTCTTGGTGTTGTTTCTAAAACCCCAAGACAACTGCTCATTAACCCGCCCAACTCCAAAACCGGCAAAATCAGTGAGATAGCACCATTAGAGCTAGAAAATATTAAAAACAAAAAAAAACTGATCAGATTTTTTAACTTTCCGATGGTTCTTGAACGTATTATGTGTGGCATATGGTTTCTTTAGTAAATATAACCAAACCTGAGCTTAAAATCAGGACATTTCATTTAAAAAAATACTTTATTCTACATGCGGCTGTGGTTCAGGTGGTAGAGCGAGTCGGTCAGTGATTGGAAGGTCGGCGGTTCGATTCCACCCTGTAACCTGTTTCATGGTCGTTGTGTCCTTGGGCAAGACACTTCACCCACCTTGCCTGGTGTGAATGCGTATCAATGGATTGTTTGAGGTGGTGCTCGGAGGGGCTGGAGGCGCAGAATGGCAGCCACGCCTCTGTCAGTCTGCTCCAGGGCAGCTGTGGCTACAATCGTAGCTACCACCACCAGAATGAATGTGTGTGAATGAATAATTGACAGTGTAAAGCATCTTTGAGTGTCCAGAAAAGCGCTATATAAATCTGATCAATTGTTATTATTATGTCTCATTTAGAAAAAATAAATTTAAAAAAATCCCCCAAAATAAAAATGTTTGAACCAGATTCTGTACAAAAGCAAAACATTCTGAGCTCTTTGGTGCAACTGAGAAGCCAGGAGTGACTCAACTGAACCCAACAGTCATTTGACAAACATTCAGAGAGTTTTCAAGTGAACTGCAGGATGAATATAAGAAGAAGAAGAAGAAGAAGAAGCTTTATTGTCATTGTAGAAGAGATACAACATTTTGTTTGGTATCATCTTTGCAGCAGCTAATAAGGTCACTGTCTCAGAAAAAATAGTTAAAAAGTGATATAAATAATAAAATAGCAATAAAATATATAATATAAAATAAATATTCTATTAAAAGAGCATTTGTTAGAATGAGTCCATAAACTGGAGGTGTCCTGGTTCCTGCAGCAGCCTAAAAGCATCATAAATGCAGCATGGCTCAGAACCTGTGATAAACCTGTGATACATTCAGCATAGTGAGACATCTTTCTCCAGTTTATGTGCAAAGTAGTGGAGTTTGGAAAAGTTGTAAAACTATAAGTAAAATGTCTTTAAGACGTAGAGCTACTATTGTTTTCTTGTATTGGTAACACCTGTGGGCACTTAGGAAAATGTTGTACATGTTGATTCCCTCCATTCATCCATCATCTATACCCCACTTAATCCTCATTAGGGTCGCGGGGGGGCTGGAGTCTATCCCAGCTGACTCAGGGTGAAGACAGGAGACACCCTGGACAGGTCACCAGTCTATCACAGGGC